TAGATCATCCAGTTTCCAGTATTAGCAATCAAGATCAGCAGAGCCAGGCCAGATCAGCAGACCTATAGACTTAAGTCACTAAGTTATGGAATCTGTCTTGGAAGAAGTACAGCCAGAATGCTCATTAGAAGCAAGGATGAAGAGACTTCGTCTCACATACTTTTGACATGTTATCAGGAAGTACTAGTCCTTGGAGAAGGACATCATGCCTGGTAAAGTAGAGGGTCAGCGAAAAAGAGGAAGACCCTCAACGAGATGGATTGACACAGTGGCTGCAACAATGGGCTCAAGCATAACAATCATTGTGAGGATGGCGCGGGATCAGGTAGTGTTTCATTCTGTATACACAGGGTTGTTACAAGTTGGAAGCAATTCGATGGCACCTAACAACAACGACAAGTTATGGAATGAACTGCTACACAGCAATAAATAACTGATACGTATGTATAGGAAATAGATAACCTGTTGCTGTCAAGTGGATTCCAACTCATAGCAACCCTATAGGAAATAGACAGCAGAACAAAAACATTTTTTCAAAGAACATTAAATTTTCTTATCATATACCTGTTTTTCTATTAAAATCCATTGTGAATAACTGGATTTTCAGTGTAAGAGACAATTTCGCATATGTCTCTCTTTTTTGGAGCTATCTATCAGCTATCTATATCTATATCTGAAATATTTTCCCAATCAATCAACCAATATTAGGCATCAACTTAGTACCAACTAAGTACCTGGCACAGTACTGGATGTAGAAAATACAATGGTGAATCAGCTGAACTCCTACCTCTGTGTTCCCTGAGCTTACGCTAGAGTCAAGTTATTGGGTAACCATAATACACTCTGTGACACTTGCCATGGGAAATTATTAGCTCTTCAAACTCAAACTGAGTTCCTAAGTTAACTCCATTTGTGTATTTCATCATATCTGGCCTTGGTCTTTTCCTTCTCCCAGAAATTCTGGAGATGTGATATTCATTAGTTCTGTTCATCAATATTTCTGTTTCTTCTTCTTTGAGGGATTATGGTAGTAGCATTGTGCTCCTCCATCTGTGGTAGATTGCAAAAGTGGATACAAATTATATCCTTCTCTGTATCCACAACCTTTTGTAATGTGATTTGTAGTGCCTTCTATCAAGAGGAAGACTCTGTTTCCCTATACTGATGCTGGGCTTGACCATGCAACTTGCTATGTGGCCCAACCAGAGATTTGAAAAGTGTCTGTGCACTAGGGATTGCTCTCTTTCTGTTCTTGGAACCCTGTGACTGCCACCATGTGAATGAGCCTGGGTTAGCCTCTGGGTGATGATGGGCACACAGCCTGATGGCTCTATATCCAAGCTGACAGTCAGTTAACCCCTAGTAACATAGCCGCCTAGCTGACAGGCAGCTGATTGTAAATACATGAATGAGTTCAGTCAAGGTCAGCAGAACTGTCCAGCTGTGCTGAACACAAATTACGATCCCACAGAATCATGAGTTAAATAAATGGCTAGTGTTTTAAGCTACTAAATTTTGGGGTGATTTGATATATCCCAAAAGTTATCTAACCCATCATTTCCATAAGTCATATGATTTACTTCACCCAATGAAATGTGTCACTTCTGGAAGAAGCCTTTAAGAGCTAGAATATCAATCAGCATCTTCTTTTTCTTGTCATGGTGACTGGGGAGCTGCCAGATGGTGGAGCTCCAGAAGCCTGGGTCCCTGAATGGACATGGAGCAGTTATCCCCACCCTTCCCCACACTGACCCTTGGAGGACATATAAGTAAAAAATAAACTTCCGTTTCAAGCCGCTGAGATTTTGGGTTCTTGTTACTGCAGCATAACCTAGCACATTCTGACTAATACAGAAATTGGTACTCAGAAGTGGGGTGCAATTATAACATAAAACCTAAAATACGTGGCTATGACTTTAGGGTTCAGGGTTGGGTGGTAAGTAAACTGTTATCAGAGGCTGGGAAGTTGGCAATCCATGTTATAGCTGGTAAAATATTAGGTAAAACCATTGATGTGTGTTTCCCATTCTTCCCTTTCTAAATAGGAATATTTACCATGGCTGTTCTGTCCTTGTTCCATGGCTGTGTATTGAATATGTGTGTGTGTGTGTGAGAGAGAGAGAGAGAGGGAAGGAGGAGGGCAGATATCTTGTCTTTTTAGGTCTCTATAACAGGATTCCTGGAGCCCTGGTGGTACAGCAGTTGAGAGCTCTGCTGCTAACCAAAAGGTCGGCAGTTTGAATCCACCAGCCACTCCTTGGAAACCCTGTAGGGCAGTTCTACTCTGTTCTGTAGGGTCGCTATGAATTGGAATTGACTCGAAGGCAACAGTTTTGGCTTGGTTTTATAACAAGAGGATCCATATCCAGTTCTATTACAGAGACTACCAAGCATCATTCAGAGATGCTGGATTTTGATATCGATGTCATTATTGAACAGAACTTTTGGATTGTCTCACTTGTAGTAGTAGTGAATATATTTTGTAGATTAGGAGAGTGAACTGTAAATTGGTGACTAGAAGGATGGATTACAGTAATCATTGGTGTGTTCACAAATAAATTCTAGTTATCTTCCTTCTGGGAAAATAGGATTAAACTTCCCTGTCCCCTTGAAGATTGTCAGTTGCCATTGAGTGGGCTACGACTCATGGCAACCTTATGTACAAGAGAGTGAAATGTTGCCTGGTTCTGACCATTCTCACAATCATTGGTATGTTTGAGCCCAGTATTGAAGGTATTCTCTACTTTACCAAACATGATATCCTTTTCTAACAATTGGTCTTTCCTGATGACGTTTCCAAAGTAAGCAAGATGAAGTCTTGCTGCCTTTAAGAGCATTCTGGTTGTATTTCTTCGAAGATAGATTTGTTCATTCTTCTGGCAGTCCATGATATGGTCAATATTCTTTGCCAATACCACAATTCAAATTCTTCTTCTTTTTTTCCCCCAGTTGCCCACTTTCACATGTATATGAGGTGACTGAAAAGACCAAGGCTTGGTTGAAGATCGTCGTTGTTGTGCACTAAGTCAATTTCGACTTATAGCAACCATATGTGACAGAGTAGAACTGCCCTATAAGGTTTCCTAGGCTGTAATCTTTATGTGGGCAAATTGCCAGGTCTTTTCTCCCAGGAAGCGGCTGGGGGGTTCCAACTACCTACCTTTCTGTTAGCAGCTGGGCACTTAAACCATTGGGCCACCAGAGCTAGGCATCTCAACATGATTGCTTTGGCCAATGAATTTCGAACAGAAGTGACTTGTATTACTTTCAGAAAGAACCATTTTTCCATCCAGCATCTTCCTTCTGCCTACCATACAACTGGGAGAGTTCCAGAGGGTGAGCCTCCCTAAGTCATCAGAGTCCTTTGTGAGAACCGTATAGACAGAAGCCCCACTCTCCCCTCCTCCCGACATACATGAACATGTAGGCAAGCAGGAAATACAATTTTTTGTTGTTTTAAGCTCCTGAGATTTTTAGCTACTTTTCTTCTGCACTATAACCCAGCCCATCCTAAGTAATATAAAAGATTACTGTAAAAGTGATCAGGAAAGCTACAAAGATTGATCACCTTGGCAATTACAATATGAGTGGAATCAGCAACTGAAATCATCCACTAACAATTCCAAAAGCACCTTCACTAATGATTTCACCTGCTTCTCCAATTATGACCGTTTTAGAAAACGTGATTTTGAGATTTCAAACTTCGTTTTTTTTATTTATGAAGATGCAAAACTACATCTTTACTCTTGATGTAATGATGACCAAGAAAACACTTTCTCATACAAGAGAAAGAGACAAGGTAAACAAGGGTAAGCAAAAAACCGGGAGGGTAGAACTGAACTTAGAATTCATAGGAATTTCCGGGAAGAATTAGAACCCATTTCTCACAAACTCGTGCATAAGTTTCCAGCAATACACAGTACTTCTCGGCTAACATTGGGTTTAGTTTCAGCTCTGCCCCTTGCACGTATACACAAACACACACATCGCTCTGGTGCTAAACTGAAAAAAATAGAATTAATTTATTTTAATCAAAAGCCTTTCTCTGGCACAACCTAAAATTCATTCCATATATTTGTAAAGTGCTAAATCGTGTGCCGGCCACTGTGCTAGGGTAGGGCAAGTGAAAGTTACGATACAAAAGTTTCAGTGGGTCGTGGCCCTCCAGTGGTTTATATTTTGCGAAATAGAAGAAGTTTCCCTTTTGTAGTTTTCACCCACACACCCAAGCCCCCGTAGATAATTTTCTGTGAAAAAGTCCCGCATCTTTCCTCCAATCCTTGCAAGTATTCACGCTCTACGAGAGCTCTTTGCTCTGGAAACTGAAGTCTGAAGTCACTGCGGGATCTCTCTTTCTCTCTCTCCCTCGACGTTTGATCCCCTTGCTCTTTCCCATCCGAAGGACGGGATGACAATGACACTGAGAAGTTTCCATCACTTAAAACACAAAGCGCAGCCTGAACACGCAAGAGACAGACAACTCTTGCGGCTGCCATCGCCCTTTCACCGAGGAGCCTCAGGAAGCTAAAGCGGCTCAGAGCGGGTAACGCAGACAGAGCACAGTTCTGGGCGCAGGGAGTGGCGGTGGAGAAACCGAGTACCGGTGAGCGCCCATCCCTCCTGGACTACAAGGCCCAGCATGCATCGCGCCTTGGCGGCGAGGTCCGCTTGGGGACTCCCGCGCAATGGAGCCTGGGAAGTGAAGTCTCCGGGCGGCCGCAGTCCTGTCTCGAAGGCTGAAGGGAGGCGTTGCTAGTCTTTGCGCGCTCTGTTCCTGCGCGGGTTCCTGGCGGTTCTCCGAACCTCTCGCTCCCGCTCAGGGTTTTCGCGGGCGGCAGGAGCACTGTGGCTTGCTGGAGTAAACTCCGGGGGAGGGGGAAGAGGGGAGTGGAGATGGGAGGCGGGGTCAGCGGAAGCGGCAGGTTGCTTCCTCCTTTTCCTGCTCCCTCCCAGCCTCTCCCTGAGGGAGCGGTGGGAGGGGGAGGGAAGGGCAGAGGGAAGGTAGTGACACGTGTCAATCAACCCCCTCCGGGGGGCGCGCGCTCCGGGGCTCGCGCCGAGGGCTCGCGCCCCTGCCTCGTGCCTGCGCTGCTCGTATGTAAATGAGGGCGCGTGACGCGGGACGCAGATGGACAAGGGAAGAGAGAGAATGGCCGCTGCCGCCGCCGCTGCTGCTGCCGCCGCCGCCGCCGCCGCCGCCGCTCAGTGCCGGAGCCCTCGGTGCGCGGCAGAGAGGAGAGGATTTCGGCGGGAACTCGACTCTTGGCGCCACCGCCTCATGCACTGTGTAGGTAAGAGAGACACGCCGGGCCCGGCTCCGCGCGGCGCGGCTGCCGCAGCCCGAGGAGTTTGGGCTGAGGAGGGTTGAGTTGAACCTCCTGTTCGGGTCAGTTCAATGGGAGAGCGATGGGAGCGGCGGCGGCGCGGGCGGTTCAGCGCTCGCCTTTTGTCTGGGGCCTTTCGCCCGGCGCGGTCCGTGCTCCTGCGCCCTCTCGGCGTTTGGGCTGCCCGGGAACTGTTAGTTCGGACCCGCTCGCCGCGCCACCGGGGAAACCGCTGGGCGCGCCCGCGCTCTGCCCGAAACTCCTCGGTGTCTCGGGTTGCCTGCCGTCCCCCTGTCAGGAGGGAGGAAGCGGCCCGGCGGGTCGGGGCGCCGGCGGGAGGAAGGCGGGCTGGTCCGCGCCTCCGCCGACTGTACACACACCCCCTTCTCGCCGCCCAGGGCCGGGCAGGCTGGCGCATCCAAGTGCTCTTGGGCCCGGAGACCTCCCGGGTGTTCTCCAGGCGGGGGGCCGCAGGTGGACCAGCGGGGGGCGAGGGGCGACGGGGGCGTCGCCCGGGGGGGCGCCCAACTCTGCCCTCTCGCGCTCAGCGGCGGCGGCGCGGTGTGTACCCCTTTAAGAAGGAGCTGCTCGAGCGCTGACGGTTGGGATTTGAAGTTCTTCCTCTCTCTTTGGAAGTCTGGACAGAATTGGGGGGGGACGTTGGGGGGGAGTTGCCATGGCAACGGCACCTCTTCCCACCCCCCACCCCACCCCCGCGGACGCCCCGATGACTCTGGTCCTCTCTTACTGTCATGTGATGGGTTCTTCGGTGCACACACACAAACACACCGCCTTCCCATCGCCCATCCCCGTTCTCCTTCCATTCCACCTTACCGTTTTGGCGGTGTCTGATTTGGTTCCCTTCAAACTTTGGGGCTTGGGGCTCTCATTCTGTGGCTTGCTCAGGGCAGCGGGAGGTAGCGGGGACTCTTCACCTTGCTTTCGTCGCCTTTTTGCCTGCGTGAGACGAACGCGTGGAGCTGTTTTCTAGCAGGTTGGTTTCGTGGGCATGGAGGGGATAACACTGCTGGGATGGGGCTGTGTTGTGTGTTTGTTTTGGAAGGGAGTTGTGGGTCGTAGAGTAGGGAAGAGGTAGGACGGTTGTATTGTCTTTAAGCAGTGCGTAGTGACAGCAGCTTGCTCTACTCGCTTTGATTCTTGGCATTTGGAGTTTGGGGAGTAACCTTAGTGGCTTAAAACAACTCTCCTACCTTGTTTCCATCTGTTCTTGCGCCACCTCGCGCCCCTTCCCACCCCCCACTCCTCTCAGATTTGTTTGGTTAGCGCCGTAAGATCGATTTTGTTTTCAAGAATGAAAAGGAGATGGTAATAGGGTAAACTCGTACAACTTCAGTTCAGAAATGTGCATTGCAGAAAACGACCGATATAGAAAAACGTACAAGAAGGAAGGTTGCTCCAATTAGGGGCATTTAAATGATGTTTAGGCAGTTTACTGTTGTCACCCTTACAAAATATATTTTGGTCTTACCCAAAAAAAAACGTTGATGGGAAATAGCTTAAGCCAGGTATTCATAAGTGACCTTAGTTCTTTTTTAAAAGTGTAAAAAAAAAAAAAGAAAATTTAGAAAGCTAAATGTTAGTGGTGCTTCTTGAATGCACATTGGGGCCTTTTTTTTTTTTTTAAATAATTGCTTGTGTAAAGATCTCTTCCCCTAAAAACCTGTTAAGAAATTGTTGGCATTCATTCATTTAGAGTCAGGTAGGATGACAGCATTGTCACACTTGCTTGTGATATTACTGTGTTTAGTTTTGCCAGGCACACTGTGATTTGAGGATGTCCTTGGTTAGTTTTTACATTTTAGAATATTTAGGGTTTTTTTTTTTCTCTTTTTGCTTACTAAGTTGCTTTAAGTATCACTTTGCATCACAAAAATATATGTACTTTTGAAACATAGTCACATCTTAGGGAAGTGAAACAAAATCAATTGGATTTGATGGGAAAAAAGGAATGAAAGTATCTTTCTGCCTTACCTACTTGCATACTCAAGTACGATTGGAAGACACTGAAAATTTAGAGTTAATACTGTATGTCTAATATGCAATCTCCATATTACATTTCTAATGTAACATATAGTTATATTGTAGAGGATAGTATAGGTGAAAGGAAATTTTCTGGAGCTTTAACTTTATCTGAGAATTACTTCCCACAGTCCTAGTCCTAGTCAGGAGATCTAGTAAGACCCATGTCATACTTTGTTATGAACACTTACTGATAGGGTGTTTTGTTTTTCACTGTCCTTACGTGAAACACTTATTTATAGTGTGACATGAGATAAAATGTAGTTTGCGTAATTATTTTTAATTACTTTTTGCTGTTCATGTGCTTACATTATTTTGTGTTTTTACAAAAAAAGTGATGTTCTTTTTCCTTCGTGTGTATTTATTTCTGTTCTGAATATTCTTTATTGCTTCATATCATGTTTATAGTCTCCTTTTTGCCTTTGTGAATACAGTTATCTAAAAGTCTTATTTTTAAATGAAATATGAAAATTGTAGGCAACATCTCAGGGTTGTACATCAAATTAATAATAAACCAGTACAGAAGTGTTGAATTTCCATTCTTAGCCTAACTCTTTAAAGTAGTTAGATTAATTTTTTATAACTTGTAAATATATTCTAACTTTATAGGAAAAAAAAGGTTTATTGTAGTTACCATGACTACTTGTAGTTAGCTAAAGAGCTAAGATGTTTAATCTCTTGGTATGGAAAGAGATACTATACTCTATTTGTGGACCTTGTCTCTTTACTGTTAGATTTGTGGCTACTCATTTATTGCTGATTTTTCTCTTTTATGGTTTAATTGAAGGGCGATCCGGTAAGCTCTATTTCCCAATTAATAGCTTTATTTGCAGTGTGGTGCATTTTATAATTTGATTATTTTTCTACAATCATTCCATACTGTATAATTTTGAGTGTGCTCAGCTAACAAATGTTTGAGTGCTTACCAGATATAGTAAGTAGTATCCTGTTACTCAGTATGATATGGAGTGATAATGGATAAAGTCCCGGATCTTAAGGAATATATAATACAATTAGTGTCTGAGAAATCATAAAATTAAAAACATTAAAGTCTATAATAAAAGATAGCCTGTTAGTCTGAAGTACTTTGTTTCTGTTTTTTTGTTCATTAATAATAATGCTTTGCATTAGTATATCGTTAAGCATTATGAGAATTTACATAGTCTACTAGGATATTTGATCTAGAAGTATGCCAGTTTTTTTGTTTTTTGTTTTTGTTTGTTTTTACCTTTTAATTTTGAATTTACAAGGAAAGTTGAAAGAACAGTACAAGGAACTCACAGATACCCTTACCCATATCCATCAGTTGTTTTACATTTTGCCCCGTTTGCTTTATCGTTCTTGCTTTATATCCACCTATGTATTATTATGTTCTGAACCATTTGAGAGTAGCTTGGAAACCTCATATCTCTTTACCTCTAAATTTTCCGGTGTGTATTTTCTAAGAACAAGGACATTATTTTGCATCACCACAACGCAGTTATTAAAGCCAGGAAATTTAATATTGATATGACTATTATCTAAGCCATAGTCCCTATTCAGATTTTATCTATTGTCCCAATAATGTGCTTTATATTTTATAGCTTTCTTTTTTTCTAGTCCGAGATCCACTCCACTCCAGAAAGCCAGGGTTGTTAGTCTCACATCTCTTTGTTGTTGCTGGGTGCCATCGAGTCAGTTCCAACTCATAGCAACCCTGTGTACAACAGAACGAAATAGTGCCAGGTCCTGCACCATCCTCACAATCATTGCTATGTTTGAGCCCATTGTTGCAGCCACTGTGTCAGTCCATCCTGTTGAGGGTTTTCCTTTTTTTTTGCTGGCCCTCTATTTTACCAAGCATGATGTCCTCCTCCAGGGACTGGTCCCTCCTGGCAACAAGTTCAAAGTTTGTGAGACGAAGTCTTGCCATCCTCCCTTTTAAGAAGCATTCTGGCTGTACTTCTTCCAAGACATATTTGTTCGTTCTTCTAGCACTGTATGGTATGTTCAGAATTCTTCACCAACACCGTAATTGAAATGCATCAGTTCTTCTTTGGTGTTCCTTATTCATTGTCCTGCTTTCACACACATGTGAGGCGATTGAAAACACCATGGATTGGGCCAGGAGCACCTTGTCCTCAAAGTGACATCTTTACTTTTTAATACTTTAAAGAGGTTTTTTGCAGCAGATTTGCCCAATGCAATACGTTGTTTGATTTCTTGACTGCTGAAATCCATGGGCATTGGATTGTGGATCCAAGTAAAATAAAATCCTTGACAATGTTAGTCTTTCCTCCTTTTATTGTAATGTTGCTTATTAGTCTGGTTGTGAGGATTTTTGTCTCTTTCGTCGTTTTTAGTCTTCCTCAGATTTTCTTTGTGTTTCTTGACCTTGACATTTTTGAAGAGCACAGTTGAGTTATTTCATAGACTCTCCCTCAATTTGAATTTGTTATTGTCTCATGATTAGATTGGTTATGCATATTTTGGCAGTATGACCACCAAAGAGATGTTTTCACCTTCTGAGTACATCATGTTGTGAGGTTCATGATGCCATCTGTCCCAATATTGGTGATGTTAACTTTGAAAACTTGGTTAAGGTGGTGTCCTCCATGTTTCTTCACTGAAAAATTATTATTTATCAGTCTTTAAACTTTCACCCATGAGTTTTAACATTCATTGATGATTTTCTAGCTTTATTGTTTCTTCTATAATTATTAGTTGTCATTCTATTCTCAAGAAAACTTTCTTATCTCTTCCATTATTTATTTGTTCGGTTATTTATATCTGTATGAACTTATGGATTCTTATTTTTTTAAGTGATTAAATCTATTATTCCATTATTTTGATTCTCAAACTGTCCCAGGTTTAGCCAATGGGAGTCCCTTCAAGCTGGTTCTTGTGTAGTTTTTGCCATGCTACCTTTTCCCTCATGACTTTTTGAC